TCAGGCCCTCTGTTCAGTTACATACTAAAAAAAAAAAAAAAATCCTTCAAATTTTAGAGTTTATGTAAGTGAATTTAGGGTGGCTACACATGAGTGCGCTATTCATAACCCATAGCTGGTATAAGACCCACCAAAATAATTTGCCTACTCTGTGGTCTGCCCTGTCTTTAATCACAGAATCACTAAGGTTGGAAAGGACCTTCAAGATCATCAAGTCCAACCATTAACCCAACGCCACCATGTCCCCTAAACCATGCCCCGAAGCGCCACATCCACACTTTTTTTGAATACCTCCAGAGATGGCGACTCCACCACCTCCCTGGGCAGCCTGTTCCAATGCCTGACCACTCTCTCGGTGAAGAAATTTTCCCTAATATCCAATCTAAACCTCCCCTGGCGCAACTTGAGGCCATTTCCTCTCGTCCTATCGCTAGTTACTTGGGAGAAGAGACCAGCGCCCTCCTCGCCACAACCCCCTTTCAGGTAGTAATGATTACTTTACTTCGAGCATGTTACAAAGACCATGTGCAGCCACCTGTAAATTTTGGGTTTAGCATCACTTTCCAATTTTTTTTCATAGAATTAACTCTACAAAATTTGCCTTAGTGAAATCATTCAGATTTGCATTGAAATCTACAGATGGAGATAATTTATTAAACTCCTTACCAGTTTCACGTTTTAGCTGTAATGCCCTCAGACGTTTTCTGACTTCAGTCAGAAAGTGGCATTGAGTACAAAAGGTCTTGGTAAATAAGTCTGTATTCGTTATGCCACTATTCTGTACTTAGGGGTAAAATCCAGGTCATTTACCAGATGCGTATCTGGGATCTTCACAAGTAGCCTGCAAATGGAAGTGAAATGCATTTTTTTCCGCTCTTTCTTGGGCCAGATCATTCTGGTTTTACACCTCTATTACCCATTTGGATTGGGAGAGTAATGAGTCCTTGCCTCCTTTTGAATTGCTTTCAGAAATATACATGAAAACACATGGAAGTTATTGTTGTCTTACACTTCTCACCATTTTTCCTGGCTTTATTGCATTACAATTTCTCTGCAACCTATCTGTGCCTAGTTGAGAGTTATCTCGACGGTGCACATGTGCACCCTCGACGGCCTCTTCGCCCAGGGCCTCTGTGTGCAGCGTGATAATCAAATGTTGGGGACGTTTTCCTACCTGTCAGCTGTGGCACAAATGCATGTTGTTTCCCCAAAGCAAAAGGAAACTTAAGGAATTATGCAGCAATAAAAGAAATAATTGAAGCCGGATGAGCTTTAGATCTAAGTTTCATGAGAGTCTTGAACTCTCAGGAAAACTTTGGTTTGAGAGAATGAACATGGTTCCTGCCAAGTACGGTTTTTGCTCCATGACTTATTTGAGAACATCATCTGCTGTATTTGAGTTTTGCTGTAGACATAGGAATGCATCTAAATTAATTTAGAACAGAGGCGAAAGATGATTAATATCTGAGAAAATTAAAACTTGCTTCTAAGTAGATTTCCCTGGGAAATCTCTCTGGAGATTTTTCTGATTACATTGGTGCCAAAATATAGTAAATAAAAAATAAGTCCCTGTTTTGTTATTTTCAGAAATGACAGAAGATAAGTGTACTTGATAGTCGTATCAGGAACAATAACCTGATGAGATTTTTGTTTATTTAATAACAAATTACCTAGTGTGTGCAGGTTTAATGATGATGATAGCTTTTAGTCTTCCAAGCAAATGTGAGGACCATTACTCTGAAACCAGAATGGATTTCAGCAGGCAATTTCCTCTTAATTATAGTGTTGAAGAAAAATGACTTAATCAGAAAATGCCAGGGGAAAAGTTGTATAATCACCTCTGTTATGCTATGATCTTTGAAATTTCTCATGTTTTCAAGGATTTGTACTCTTCAGTGTACATCCTCCCGTAAAGTACTTTTGACTATGGTCTTTCATACGTTGCTTAACTAAACACCAAAACACACCTGGCAGACCCAATTCTGAATTAGTAAAGGTGCTGGCTGGCCGGCGGCGCTGGAGCGGTGTACTGGCTAAGAAACCCTTCCTGGGCTGGATTTCCGTGGCGGGCTCAGAGAGGCAATGGCCTCATCACTGCTGCAGCTAAAATCATCCGGAGGAGCAGCTGTGTAAGTCTCCCCAGAAAGTCTGTGAATGTCTTGGTTGCATCCAGCCCCGTCTCACTTCTCTTTACGTGCAAGGTCTTATGGGGAGGAAGGCTGAGGTGGCCTTGGCTGCCTTGTCCTCTGTTAATTCTGTTAGCATTAGACTTAAGTATTCTTGTTCTTTTAACAGCTGTAAAATTAATACCACCAATTAAATTCTTATAAGCCACCCGTATTTTTTAATTCAAATAAATATTCTTTGCTGAAGGGTCGCTTTCTCACATTGGCATATGCTTTATTCATTAAATAGTCCTACTACTCATCAGAAGTTAACATGGCAAAATCTGATCCCATGTTATAAGGCTTTGCAGCATGCATGTATTAGCACAATACAAAATACCTGTGTGAAATCCGTTCCAGTAAAGCTTTTAGCTTACACTGTGTATTTTGACTGAGCGTTTCAGTGCACTTTTGTTGTATCAATAAAATGTTCATATGATTTAGTGAGCCTCAACCACTTTTGCAGCTGTTTCTATTGCTGTTTACAAAAGTAAATTCCCTGTTTCCGTGTAGTTAGTAGGTGACACGGTACATTGAATATATTCTCAATAACAGCAAAGCTGCTTTCTACCACATTACTGAATACAGATGAAAATTACCAATTTGCTATTAATGAAACAGTGGGCGCTCATATTTTGTCTAAGTACAATGTAAAGGTCAAAACCGAATCTGAGGTCTAGACTCGGAGGCATTAAGAAATTGAAGTCATACCAATGATAGGACCTGAGTTTCTAAGTGCTTCTCTGAATCTACTCCTAAATATGTTTAGCAAATAGTTTGAATTCTGTGGAATGTCCCAAGTGTCTACATATCCTGGTAACGTAGACTTTGGTCTGCTAAAAAATAGTTATTTGGACATCAACGTGCAAAAAAACACCTTTCTTTGCTTTAAACCCCTTCTTTGATCCCTCTTTTCCTCACAGTTCTTCAGTACACAGCTTACGTTCATACTGGCTCCACTGCTTTAGTCGCCTGCTGCTACGTCACCTTTTAATCTTCGTTTTCGAAGCGTCACTGTCAATGCTGTTGGAGGGGCACTCTGAGAGTGGAAGTGACCCGTTAAAATTTAACGTCTCTCAGACATCCTCTGTAACCAGTTGACGGTGCAGTTCGTCTCATCCGGACAGAGGCTGGGCGATCCCTGCCAGAAGCGTCTGCCGCTTTGAAGCGAGGTGGGCGCCGGGAACCATCCCGCCGCTACCGGAGTTGCCCCTCCAGGCGCACGTGGCAAAGCGGCTGTTGGCACGGAGCCTGGGGTGCTGCACGGGAGCGGTGGGACTGTGGAGATCCCAGGGGCAAGCATTGCCACCCATTTTGCTTTTGGGGACTGGGTAGACCTCACAAGCCAGCGCGAGCCCTCCCATCTCTCTGACGGGGGAGCAGCTGCCTCGGGCTGTGCTTACAGGCAGGGTGTTACTCCACGTCCTCTGAAGGTCCCTGCAGGGTGACTGCTGGAATGGCATCGTTGAAATATAACGGATCCTTCAAGAAACTTAATTCTTCAATATAAATGTTATTTATTTAGGCAGTTAGTGTTAAAACAGTTCAATGGGGTAAATGGCCTTCTATTAGAAAATGCTGAGTTACTGATCTGAAAAATTCATCTGTTATACCCTCTGGCAATGCCTCTTCTGATTTCCCTGTTAACTTGGTATCCTTGGGTGCATATGCCCGCAGACAGTTTGTGACACACGCATGGGCTGTCCGTGCTTGTTCCTTGTCATTGAAACAGGGTTTGAACCGTGGAAGGGTTCATTACAGGGCTAATTAAAATCCGTTCGCAAAACGGTTCCCACTGACACGACAGACGTATTCTCCGTTTGTTTTCTGACGCCGTGCCTCGCGCCGGCTCTGACGTCAAGTAGTAAGTGGCATTGCGAGGCAGCAGCCCGCTGTTACGGGTGGGGAGGGCCACAGGCGCCCGGTCGCTTCACGCCGGCGCGTGTGACCGTCTCGGCCCCGCAGCGCGGGGCGGGCTCGCCTCTTCAGTGGGGAGGCGTGGATGTGAGCTTTTAGGGGGTTGTGCCAGAACTGCCAGACCTGTTAGAGCTCAGCCACAGGACGAGCGTGTGGTGGAATATGTTTGGAAGTGCTGCAGGCCCTGTAATCTCTGTGTTTTACTTCGTGGGGATGAGGATTTTGAAACGTACTAGTCTTTTGTCACCCAGCTTTCATGAAAAGCAAAGCCTTCAGATACTGCTGTTTGACTCGGATGCAAAACAGCCGCTTTGGGTCCAGGCAACACCGTGCTGTTTTCATTTTGTTCTCTCTAAAGGAGAAGTGGGTGGATGTCACGTACTGTTCTGTGTTCAGAACTATAGCCTGATCTTTCAGAAAATAATATAACATATATCTTCCTATCTTCAGCAACGAGACGCTGTAACTTTTAGGACAAGCGGAATAAATGTTGGCAGTTTAGAGTATTAGAAGCGTCTTGAACTTGAAAGGAGTTTTTGTAATACATTAAAATGTTGTTGAAAGGTATGTTAAGCAACCTTTGCCGTGTCCACTTTCTGTTATTTAAAAATTTCAGTAGTTATAAACCAGAGAACTGCTTCTGTCTGTATTTATGTAGGGAGGATTTTTAGCTCTTTTTAATGAAATCTTGCCAAACGTCTGGTCATTTTTCTTACTGGACCTCTCAGATATCACTGTAAGATACTCTGGGGGGAGGCAAGGGGAGTGCTCAGTAACAAACCCAGTACTGAGGAAGGCAAACTGCAAGTTTTGTTAGTGATGGTCTGTTTACCAATGCTGGCATTTTAATCCTTTACTAACTTCGTGAGATGTGTAAAAATACAAAGATATGCAAGTTGCTTTGTTTTTGCCTTACAGGGCACGCCAGCAAGTCGAGTCCGATACAAAGTAGATGTTGTCCAGTTTCCTTACAGCGCCAGCATTTTTGACGTGGATGAAAACTCAGGACGTGTAGTAACCCGAGTAAACCTAAACGAAGAGCCAAGTACAGTGTTTAAGGTATGAAGTCCTATAGCTGTATATTGTCAGTAAAAAATATTACCTGCGTTTGATGGAATTCCTTTTACCCTCTTGTTTCTCGGTGTCGCTTTATATTGTGTAGAAAGATGTGAAATTTTTATTCTGTTTGTTTCTTTACTTCCTTAATTTCTTCCTGGCACGTATTTTGTGCCTTTTTGATTTCAGATACATCTTGGGTGGATGATTGCTACTGTTATAAGGGCAGAAGAAACGGCGAGGCAGCTGAAGGAAACCTCAGTTTTTAAAAATTACCTTGCTGATTTCTTTGTTTTCGACAGGGCTGTCAGCATAGCAATTGTATGAGAACTTTGTAAGAATGACAAGATACCTTGTAGAGGAAGCTACTACCTGGCTGGATAATTTGGGACTTCTGTTCACAAGTGCTATAATGTAAAAACGTTGGCTTTAAGGACACTTATTACCATTGTGTTGCTATTGTTCCTGAAGAGTCTCGAGCATAGTTAGCGTGGAATAAGTTAGGATTTTAATCAAAATCATTGGGACAGATCTCCCTTCTTAAATCCATGGGTATTTGAGGGGGTAGTTGAAAATGAAAATTAAAGTGTGTCAGTAAGCAAAACAGAGAAGGGGGAAAAAAAAGGTGTCAGAATATTTGGGGCTTACATATAATTTCACTGCTTGGAAACTACCAACTTTTTGTGTGGTCATTACGGTGTGTTTTGTTTCTTTTTTGCCTTTCAGTTATTTATTTATGAAATGAGGATTAAAGAGAGGTTTGTTCACCTACTTTCCATTTTAAAGAAATAAAACCATCCACTTCACTGTTTTCCACTTCTGAGAGTCCTGTCAAGCGCTACCATGAGCTTGGGTAGTGTTGAAATGCTGTCACTATTTTAGGAACTTAGGACAGCAGTAATTTGAGTTGTTTTCAGTTTTTAACTAACATAGTAAAACTGAAAGGAAAAGAGAATTATCTTGGTTAACATCAAGTGCAGCTTTTTTTGTTGTTGCACTTTTTATTTTTACTCCTCGGTATTATTTTGCGTGCCTATTTTCTGAAGCTGTGAGACATAACATGCAGGTGATGTGCACGTGGACATGGAGCTACATTTCTGTATGAAAACTGCTCTATATTCGGGCAGACCAGTGGTAAACTTAGCAGAGTATTACTTTTGAGAAATTATGGGTATATAGGGAAGAAGCACAGAAAAGACTCCAGAAATCAGTGATGGGGGACTTTGAGTTGGTATTTGCATATAGACCATTGGGCTCGTATCTGCCTATCACCTTCTGTGAATTTTTCCAGTCAATTTTTAACATACTCATAGTTTTTGCAGTTATGATAATCTTGCACTGGTGAGTTTCCTTAATGTATTGGCTGGAAAAATGCTTCCTTTTGTTTTAAGTTGTCTCTTCGCTGACATATTCTAAGAATAGCTCGGACTCACAGAAAGGAATTGAAAACCGTTTGCTAGTATGAGGCGCTGACCTGCTCCATCTAGTAAGCTCTTGAAATAAGGACAAAGTTAGAGAGAGGGGAAACTGGAAAACAGTCCACTGCTCCATCTTCAGTGGGCTGGTCTGTCATCCTTTTGCTAGCAGATAGCTTACCTTCATTTGCAAGCTGAAAACAGGTGAATTTTTTTTGTCCCGGCAGACAAACACAGATTAAATAAACAAACAGACATGAGTAAAGATCAGGTAAGCAAAAGATTTATAATAGGCCACATTCGGAGAAGGTCTTTGGGTCTCGTCCATGTTTTAGCATACAGAAGATCTCTTTTCTAAGAGGATTTTTTTGGAGGGGAGGTAATGTTAATTTTTTTTGTTTTGATATCAGACCTCAGTTTTAAATATAAATGATAGCAACGCAGAATTCTTACCCGGCACTTTTTCTGTTTGTTTTATTGGGAGTTACAGGTGGTTTTTTTCAATAAAAATTATTGCACCGTGTAAATGTAGAATTGAACTATATACTGTTAAAGAAGTTGAAATTGTTTCTGGAACTCTGAGTAAGGACAGTCTGTGATTAGACTTGAAGGGAATCTCCTGAAAAATGTACTTGAAGCTGTAGGCAATGAAGTTTTGGAAAGGTATTTGTAGAAAACTGTTGTATTTGAATTCCAGTTTACTGTGTTTCTGTAAATTTTCTAGCAGATGGTTCAAGTTGTGGATGGCTGTCACCATTTTCCTCTGTGTTTTGTTCTTATACAATGTATGGTTTGCAGCGAAAGAAATCTAGTCCAACTTATTAGACCCTGAAAATACAAGAAGTATTGACCCTGAAAATACAAGAAGTGTTGTTGCAAGTCAACATAAAAAACATTCTTGCCTATACTGAGAGTGATTTTCTCTATTACTCATAGCTAGTGGTCATTGCGTATGACGATGGGGATCCTGTGAAGTTCAACACCACCACCGTAGAAATAGCTGTACTGCAGCCTTCGGTAATTCCACGTTTTACGCAGGATGAATACAGGTAAAGCATTTATTCAATTCACATTACAACTGTTGTTTTTTAAGTTAAAAGAAGTTCTAGTTTGAATGCTACTCTGAGATACGTGGGCTACGAAAATACCCTGTTGTCAACATGGAAGTGTTTCACCTACATATACCTCAAACGTTGTACCTTCTCCTGTTCACTTTGGCTCATGGAAGGAAATAAGACACAAAAATAAGGCTCGGACCAAAGCACCAAAAGCCTTCAGTACTTAGAGCTGATAACATATTTGCTGATGTTAACTCTTCCTTAGGAGATAGAATTGGATGCTGCTCTGTGGAGAGAGCAGTCAGTGCTCAAGTCCACCAGAAGCACAACTATGTGAAATTACATGCAAGACTTTTTTGCAGCACTCCCATTTGACAAAGTGAGGGTGGCAAAATACTTTAGAGTTGCTTCTTTCTCTTAGCCAGAAGTTACTTGGCAGCCAGCCATTCCCTAACCGTATCAGATAGTGGTGCAATTTTACCGTCTTAACAGGTTGTCTCCAACTGAAGAGATCTGGGCTGTAGGTAACAGTGACAGTGAGAAGAGGTTTGTTTGAAATTATCCTCTCAGAAGCTGTTGAAAATGTCAGTCGTGTGGATAAACAAAAAATCTCGTGCATTGAAATTGTAGCTGGGATCACCAGGGCTCTAGGTTAAGTTTCCTTCAGTCTGTTTGAGTATGTTTGGATCCTGTACACCATTCATGTCAGACACGAGAGAATTCAGACTTGACCTCTTTGATATGGGAAGTCCAGATGGTAGTTATTATTACTACAGAATCACGATTTGATAAAGTTTTCCCTCTGACAATTTAACAAAATCAACCCCATTTTCTTAAATTTAAAAAAAGGTGGTGCACAGCCTGACGAGTTTAAATTTTGTTACAGAGAACGTCTTCATAAACATTTTGACATCTGTATAATAATAGGAAGCGATAGGATCAATGCAGCCAACCTCCCCATATCAAGAAGTTAGAGCCTTGCTGCAATATGTGCTCTTGATTCCAATGGAGTGACATAATCAGTATCAGAAGATAGTGGGTTTTGTATATATATTTTCAAAAGAAAGTGCTGGAGGAAATGTGAGAACAGAAATTGAATGTAATATTATTGGCTTGAGTAGACCCTAATGAGGCGGTTGCTTGCTCAGCTATTTTAAGGAGTTTAGACAAAAATTCATTGTGGGCATTCTATTTTTCCTCATGATTAGACTATTAGCATTTTGAAGCAATACCATAAATAAATGAAAAATAGCAAAATACTGCCAACCCTTTAATAATTTTGTATTTAATCTTGAGACAAATATGAAATCTGAGGGAACAGTGCAAAATTATAAACTTTGCATTTAATGCTAATCCTTTGCTGAAGGATTTTTCTTGAGAGAGATTATTCTTGCTACTCCTGATATTTTATTACATATTTGCAAATGTATGAAGTGTAATTTAGGTAATGTACCAAAAGGTAGTCCTTTAAATAAAAATGTTTCCATTTGTAACTGTAATTTCATATATCATGTCAGTGCATCCAATTTCTGAATAGTATTGAAAGCCTTTCTGTAATACACTTAACCTTCTGTGTTACTATTTTCAAGAAAACAGTTAACAGGTCCTATATGCGTAGCTATGAGGGGGGAAAAAAAAGTGTAGCTCTGTTTAACAGGAGGATGTGAAAAAACGATAGGATGAGACCTTTGCAAGATACTCCACATTTTGGGTAAATTACAGAAGCTAATTTACCTAGCCTCAGGAGCCAGACAGGGGGCTGGAGCTGCTAAAGAGAATCTTCACTGCTCGGGGCGTACTTAGTAATGCACTTTGTTTCCCTTTTCTGTTATAACTTGGGCTAGGAGGGCTCTGCAGAGGGATCTGGACAGGCTGGATCGATGGGCTGAGGCCAACTGTATGAGGTTTAATAAGGCCAAGTGCAGGGTCCTGCACTTGGGTCACAACAACCCCACGCAACGCTACAGGCTTGGGGAGGAGTGGCTGGAGAGCTGCCCGGCAGAAAGGGACCTGGGGGTGCTGGTTGACAGCCGGCTGAACATGAGCCAGCAGTGTGCCCAGGTGGCCAAGAAGGCCAACAGCGTCCTGGCCTGTATCAGCACTAGTGTGGCCAGCAGGAGCAGGGCAGGGATCGTGCCCCTGTACTGGGCACTGGTGAGGCCGCACCTCGAATCCTGTGTTCAGTGTTGGGCCCCTCACTGCAAGAAGGACGTTGAGGTGCTGGAGCGTGTCCAGAGAAGGGCAACGAAGCTGGTGAGGGGTCTGGAGCACAAGTCTGATGAGGAGCGGCTGAGGGAACTGGGGGTGTTCAGTCTGGAGAAGAGGAGGCTGAGGGGAGACCTTATCGCTCTCTACAGCTACCTGAAAGGGGGTTGTGGCGACGAGGGTGTTGGCCTCTTCTCCCAAATAACAAGAGGCAGAACAAGAGGAAATGACCTCCAGTTGTGCCAGGGGAGGTTTAGGCTAGATATTAGGAAAAATTATTAAGAGAGTGGTCAAGCATTGGCACAGGCTGCCCAGGGAGGTGGTGGAGTCACTATCCCTGGAGGTGTTCAAAAAAGGTGTGGATGTGGCACTGGGCATGTTTAGTAGGCATGGTGGTGTTGGGTTGATTGGTTGGACTTGATGATCTTAGAGGTCTTTTCCAACCTTAATGATTCTGTGAACTTTATTCCAAATAACCTTCACCTTTAAGGAGCTTGCCCTTGAATCTTATCTGGTGACAAATGTGATGCCTTAGCCGTGTGACATGGTCTGGGATGCCCGTTGGCATGGGAGAGGCTCCAATGCAGCCATAGTGCTAGACTGCTCAGACCAAATCCAGTGCAAGTCCAGCCTCCGGAGCACTCAGAGCACGGTGTGGTCTACCTCTGCGATGTAGAAGAGGTATTTTTGCAGTTCTCACGTTAACCAACACAGCGTCTTTGTTTGCAGGATTGTGAGAAGAATCTTTAAGCTTTAGGAGCACAGGCAGAGTTTGCATTGCCTTCTGAAAAATGAGCTGAGCTCACTCTTCATGAGGCCACCTCGGGCTCCAGTTTTATCCCAGGAGATGGCAACTTTATTTCACTACAATGAAGAAAGCTTAAAGTCCGACGCGGCTCGTATCCCCTAATACCCTTATATGACAACTGAATAACCCGCGTTACCCTCTCCTCCTTGCGAACTCCTCAGGATAAGCTGAATAGCCTAGTTTTTCTTTCCGAAGAAATAGCACTACTCCATTCTTGGTAAATTCTTCGATGCCCACCATTGTAAAAAACTTCTTAAAATCTTTTTGGGGCAGCAGAAGCAGTTACTAATTTTCTCCAATGTCAGAAACTAAATGAAAACAACGCCGTAACTTTCTGATTCAGCTCTGACTCTCTCAAACATTTTGGAGCAGGACTAGTTTTGATTCCTGAGGTTTTCAGGGGTTGTCACACTCTGCCAGCTTGCACTTCGTGTTTGGTTTCTTGACAGTGATGCAAGCTGAAACTGGCAGGTTTCATATAACCTTATGTTTCAGTTGACATAGTGTATCTTTAAGGTAAATGTCAGCACGGGGTAATGGTGCTGCTTTCAGAACGATAGAGTGTTGGATGTGGATACTAGAATTTCTGAAGGATTGAGAATTAGTGGCTTTAGAGTGGATTTGTATTGATCTTTGCTTGCATAATTATCATAATCTAGATGATTCCAGCATTTTTTTCTAGCTGTTTTACAAACTTTGTTTCTATGTATTTAGAAGAAGGTCACAGTTGAACAGTTTTACAGAATAAAGCTGCCTGTGCAGTTGCAGCATGTATTACAAATCAGAAAAAAATGCAAAAAATAGAGAGGGGACCAGATGGCATGATCAAAAAGGCATAGCCGCATTAGGCAGATAGGGAGAAAAAAGTGCAACTCTGCCTTGAGCTGTTGGTCTGGCAGCTCTCTGCTCTGTCAGAAGTACCCCAGCGCAGGAGGGTCTCTGCTTGGAGCCCTGTTCATACTGAGCGAGGCTTTGATTGATTATTATCCATGTGTTAAAGCGGCTTCCACAGGAGGCAGCGGTCAAGGAGATGAGAGTCAGAGATTTGCATTTTATTCACTGGCTCTCCTCCTGACTTATTCCATAATTTGGGGCAAATTAATTAGTCTATTTTTTCCCCAACTTTCTTGTTTTGAATTGTAAATTAAACCAGAGACGTCTAAACGCTGCTGCGCTATACATATAAAACAGCCAAGGGAAGTTAAGAGCTCTGAGAACCGTAAGATACAACATGGAGCAGTTGCTTTATGACAAGTGAGTACTAAAATATAGTTCCTTCCTAATAACAACTGCTAAGGAACATCGGAAAGACATCTGCTGCAACCGGTCAACTCTTCTGGTGGGAACTAGCCGGTCCAGGCCAAGCGTCGCAGCAGCCTGGGTGCAGCGCGCTTTAGGACGTTCCTCTTCCACGCAGTCGCACCCCGTTAGAAGCAGAGCAGCGTCAGCCTGCAGGTCTGCATGATCTGGTCCAGCAGCCTGTGAAGATGCCACCCCAGGGGCTTGCAGGCCGTTAGCATAGTTAATAAGGGCCAGATGATCCATGCCTAGTCCTCCTTGCACAAGGCCATCTTCTGAGAACACCAGTACACTGCGACTCCCACAGCTCTCTCCAGCACGTCCTTGGGTGCCAGCCTAACTGCCTTCCCCACACTCGAGCTGGTACTGCAGGTACTCCTGCGCTGCTGGCCTGGATCTTCGTTCTGAAGCCGCAGAGTTTAACTGCATGCACAGTGTGGATCCTTTTCTGCTTGGATCCTTGTCTGTCCTTGTCATGGTATTAGATATGACTTTGAGAGAGCCGACAGCGCCAGTGCCTGCTAAATAAAGTGTTTTCCGAACGGAGCATGTGCACGTTCCACAAAAACGCGAAGTGTGGAGAGGCAAAAATCAAAAAGAATCAAAGTCCTATAACATGCAGATATTTAATTGCAGATGGCTAGTCCACCTCTGAGCCCACTTGACCTTTTGCTGCCAG